GTTCAGATAAGGGAGAATGCGGCCAGCAGGTGGCAGCCTGGGTTCCAGTGTGACTTTAAACAGAGCCCCTCCCTCCTCTGACAATCGCACAAGCGCCAGTGCTGCACAGCCAGGGGTGGGAAACTACTTTGTCAGAGGGGGAGACCCGGGACAGTTTCTGGCTATTCGCTGAGCAGAAAGCCCCTCCCTCGTGCCCATTCCTGCGAACAGGGGTCCCCAGGTCTCACCTTGCAGTTGGGTTTGCAGTCTGGAGCCAGTTGGGGGGTCGCGGGGAGAGAAGAGAACTGGGTCAGCGAGCCAGAGAGCCGGGGCTCAACCCCTCCCCCGCTGGCTCCTCGCACCCCCCCCCCCCCCCCCGCCCCCCCCCAACCCCCTCCCCGTCCCCACCGTGGTTGATGAAGGCGGCCGGGCCGAGCCACAGCTGAGCGCTGCGCTTGCGGGTGGAGTACATGATACTGAAGTCGTTCTCCCCGGCCCTCAGCAGCCCCTCGTCGGCCTCCCGCAGCTCTGCGATGCAGCCCACCAGCAGCTCCAACTTCTCGTTCTTTTTCCTGCCCAGAAGCCAGGTGGTGGGTCTGTGAGCACCTCCCTGACCACCAGTGCTGGGGACAGGGGCCCCTCATCCCAGGCCTCCGGCGGGAAGACTCGATGGGACGCACCAGCCACCGCGTTCCAGCTCCCAAATCTGAAATTCACCCACCGTTGCCTCTACACCTGCGCAGGCGCGGCACCCTCCACCTCCTGAAAGCCTGACCCGCATCCCCTCCCGCTCTCGGTTCCTCCAGCCTCCAGTGCCCACTGCCTCGGCCTCTCGCAGTCCAGTCCTGCCCGGAAGTCCCCACAGGCACCCCCGCACTCTTCACTAGACCCTTTGGCTCATCCTTCGGGCCTCAGCCTAGGCCTGGCTCCCAGGAACACTCTCAAAATTCCCGGGCAGGCTCAGGACTCACTGAGCAGCTGTGGTCAGCCCTGTGCGCTCACTCAGCTACCACCTGCCTTCCCGCTAGAATGTGAGCAGTGGGCAGGGTCCTCTTGTTCACGGTCCTGCCCTGTACCCAGCAGCGATTGCTATGCAGCAGGGGCTCCAGTGGGGATGAAAAAAAAGACAGCACAGTCCTGGGCGCAAGATCAGTCCTTTCTTGGCAGCCCCAGAGAGCCTGGGTCTCGAGGGGATCTCATCTCCCAGCAGGGCCGTGGTGGGCCAGGAGGGTCTTGGGGGACCAGACCCGGCCTCCTTTCTCTCAACACAGACATCTTCATGGCCCTGTCCCGAGTGTCCAGTCTCCTCCAGAAGGGAGGGGGTTTCCTCCCCCAGAAGCCCCCAGGGAGGGATGCCTCCTGTCAGGCCTGGGGCCCTGGGAGGCATGTTCTGCCCTCTTACCAAGCACGGGTAGACACAATCTTGGCTCCATTTGTCTCCATGGAATAACGGGTACAGGGCAAGATGGTGAAGCCGCTTTCAGGCAGGAAGGCTCGGAGGTAGCGATAGATCTGGGGGAGGTGAGGGGTGGCAGGGTGAGGACGTGGGGCAGGGTCATCCTCGGCCCTCTCTCCTGGGTTCTAGTCCTGCTCTGCCACTGACTCGCTGTGTGGCCTCAGGGAACTCACCTCCCCTCTCGGGGCCTCAGTTTCCTCATCTGTCAAATGAAGACGTTAGACTCCATCTCAGGGCCCCCCGCTCTCCTGTCCTAGGGTTCTCTGAGCCTTGCCTCAGATGGTGCCAATGGCTAGGAAGTCAGGGGGTCCCGGGGAGCTGTGCTGAAGGTCTGCCCGACAGGGCGGAGGACCCAGGACAGGCAGAGGAGACGGGGAGAACACGAGGGCCGCGGGGAGGGAAGGGAAGGGCTCCCTCACGTGGGTCTTGAGGGCAGCCTCCTGCCGCGGGCCCCGGCTCTGGAAGTAGTGGGCCATCCAGCCTCCCAGCGTCAGGGCCCGGTACGCAGCCTCCAGGTCCCGCTGCCTCAGGAAGGCCTCCAGCGCTGAGCGCAGGTGGTGCTGTCGCCGCAGGGGGGGCACGGGGCTGGGGGAGAGGGCACGCCTGGGTCCCAGGGCCTTGGCCTATTCCCTCTGGGCCTTCCCAGGCCCCACCCCCACCCCCACTCGGAGCTGAGAGGAGGATGGGGCTGAGGGGTGGCAGTGGAAGGTAAGTGGTCCCGAGCCCTCGGTCGCCCTCCCCCAGGTCGCCTCACCTGACGTTCATCTTGTGGGTGCGGAAGCCGAGGTAGGGGTCCAGGACGAGGCTGGTGGCGAGGTCGTCATTTTCACACAGTTCCCTGGCTGTCACTCTGTCGGGGCCCATGGTGCCCCAGGCACCATGCTGCCTCCTGCAGAGAGTGGAGAGCTCAGGGCAAGGGCAGGGGCAGTGCCCCAGGCCTGTGCCTGCTCTATGTCACTTATAGGTTGTGTGAGACTTAGGCAAGCCCTTCAGTCTCCTCATCTATAAAGCAGGGAGAAAAGCAATACTGACTTCACAGGGCTCTTGGTGAAGATGAAATGCAACAAGTGCTTCTGACAATGGGGAGATCCCCAAAGAAACGCCAGCCACCATCGTTAGAGGCTGCATCTCCTCCAACCACCTATGACAGCCCCGCCACGTGCACACACACTGGCAGACCCTGTGCGCACACGCAGATTCCCCAGGACCCCCATACACACCACACACACACACACACACACACACACACACACGCAAACGTGCCAACTGGCCCACGGAAGGCTGATTAATTGGCAGTCTGGGATAACCCTATAGGCTTAGTCCTGCAGGAGGTGCAAGTCAGGGGGGACCCAGCAGCTCCACCTCTGGCCCTCACCAAGGAAAAAGCCCAGGCTTCCTGCCCAACCAGAACTGCTTGTTCCTCTGCCCATCCCCACTCTCTCCTGGCCTTGGCCTCCACCCCCATCCCCAGCAGCCCTTGGGAGTCCTCAGAAGGCTCTGGGTGAAACCCCAGGCAGTACGAATCGGGGGCGGGTGAGGGGAGGGAGAGCAGAGGAAGGATCCCAGCACCTGCTCTCTCTCCAAGGATTCCGGGGGGAGGGAGGGGCACAGAGGACAAAGCGGGGGGAGGGGGGGAGAGAAAAGGAACGGTGTGGAGAGGCAGAAGAGGCCCATAAAAAGAGAGGAGAAAGACGGGGATTAGGAAAACGAAACAAAACAAGCCTCCTAACCCCGACTGCAGAGGGCCTGGTGGGCACCGACACCACGGTGCTTCAGGGAGAGCAGATGGGGGACGGCGAGGAAAGGGGAGCTGGAAAGAGATCAGGAGCTAGAGCAGCTGGGAAAGGGGGTCGAGAAGGCACGCAGGCTGGGGATAAATAAAGAGGGGGAGCTGCGGGAAGGCGCTGGGGCAGAACGGAAACTGCAGAGGGGCAAGCGGGTAATACGGACACCACAGGGAGGGAGCTGGGGCAGGGAGAAGGGGCGGGGGTGCCTGCGGGGGAGACCGAGGGCTGCGGGAAGGCTTGGGGATCCAGGGAGGACCCCAGGAGAGCTAGCAGGGAGACCAGGGGTCCAACGAAAGTAGAGAAGGACCTGGAGGTCCAGGGAGGGTGCTGAGATGGTATAGGGGGGCCTAGGGGTTCCAGAACGGGGCTTGGAGAAGCAAACAGGGACAGGGGAAAGTCCTAGGGATCCAGGGAGGAGCACAGAAGAGCCGCGAGAAGAGAGCCGGGGCTCCAGGGAAGGATCTGGGTAGGCAGTGAGAATCCAGGGGAAAGGCCTGAGGTCCAGAGGGAAAGTGGGGGAAGCAGACAGGAGCCTGGGGAGGCAGGGAAAGTGCAGAAGGGCCTGAGATCCAGGGAGGGGAGTGTAGAGTCAGAGGGCGAGCTGAGGGTCCAGGGAAGGGCCTGGAGCGCGAGCGCGGGGCCTGGGTAAGGAAGCACAGGAAAGGGGCTGGGCGCCGAGAGCAGCCTGGGGCTCGCCGAAGGGCCAGGAGACGTGGGCGCCTGGACACGAGGAGGGGCCGGGCGGGGCGGGGGACAGTCGGGGCTGGGGACGACCGGGAGCCAAGGCGGCGCGGGGCCGAGAGGGGGCTCAGAAGTCGGGCCCCGCGCCGCCCCTCACCCGCTTCTCCTCCTCCTCCTCCTCCTCAGGCGCCCGCGCTGCGACTGCCACCACCTCCCACAGCCTTCTCCAGCTCTCTTCAGACACGGTCGCCGCGCCTCCCGTCTGCCCAGCCGGGCCCGCCTCGCAACGGCCGTCACGGCCTCCCATTGGCCAAGGTCGCCGCCACTCTTCAGTCGCTCTGAAGCTTACGCCGCTCCCGTTGGCCGGACTCCTCTCTGCCCCTCCCTGCCCGCCCCACGGTCAGCGCCCCTAAAAAACTCCGCGTCGCCCTCGCTGCCGTCGAGAGCCGCCAACTGCACCCAGTGGCTGCCGCCGCTGTCCTTCCGGCGCTGCCATGGAGACGTATCCCCGCCCACGGCCCAAAGTCGACGCCCTCATTGGCCGAAAGCGCCGTCGCTCCGGGAGAATCGCGGGTTTGGGTCGGGTTATTTGGGTCCAAGTGGAAAGAGGGCGGGTACCGCCTGCTCCAGAGCCCGTATGTGATTGGTTGGCCTTGGAGCGACTCATGCTTCCATTGGCTAAGGTCTCCGCCTGTCACCATAGAGTCGCGACCTCCCTGTTCTTTTTCTGTGGCGAAACCTTCGACCACCAGAGGGAGAAAGCAGGGGCGGGCGGGAGGGGGGGGGGGGGAATGCGCGCGCACCTCCTTCCCCCCGCCCGTCTGGGCCAGCGGTTGCCAAGGCGACAAAACTTTATTGACAACCCTGCCCGGTACAAAGGGCTTTTCGCCCTCTTCCTCACTCCTAGACCAGCTTCTCTTCCCCTAAATAACCTGTTTAATTTTGAGTACCCACAATAACACTGTGGGTGAAAGGGTCAGAAAGAAGGAGATTGATAGGTGGGGGCTTTGAAGAAAGCCCTGACTCATGGGGAGCTCCCATGGGGCACCCCCCCACACCCACAGTTGAGATCACCCCTCTGCTCCAGTCCTAGAGGCAAACATAATTAGTAATTCATCATAATTACGCCAGAATAATAAGCCCCACACTTGGAGCAGGCGGTCTTTGTTTTGTTGACGGCTGTATATCCTGTGCTCTTGGAACAATGCGTGGCACGGAATAGGTGCTTCATTAATTTGTGCTGAAGGAATGAATGTATGAAGCTGGTTTCTGCAATCCGTCACTCTGTGACTTTGGAGAAGTGGCTTGCCCTCTCTGAGCCTTAGGCTCGCATCTATAAAATAAGGACCACACTGGTCTCTCTTTGAGGGGTCTTTCTTAACACCCTCCTAGGTGTCCTTCACTCGTGCTTCCAGGCTCCCACCCTCTGTTCTTACTGTTCTTTCCCCAGCTGGGACTATCCCCAGCTCGGAGACACCCCCAACCCAGGTACCCCCACCCCCATAAGGATGGCTACAGCTCCGGAGAAGAGATGCAGCCTCACCCGGAGAAGGGGAGCCAGCAAGCCGAGAGGACCCTATACAAAGCTCAGCTCGGGGCTTCCCTGGTGGCGCAGTGGTTGAGAGTCCGCCCGCCGATGCGGGGGACACGGGTTAGTGCCCCGGTCCGGGAGGATCCCACATGCCACGGAGCGGTTGGGCCTGTGAGCCATGGCTGCTGGGCCCGGGCATCCACATGATTGGTTGGCCTTGGAGCGACTCATGCTTCCATTGGCTAAGGTCTCCGCCTGTCACCATAGAGTCGCGACCTCCCTGTTCTTTTTCTGTGGCGAAACCTTCGACCACCAGAGGGAGAAAGCAGGGGCGGGCGGGAGGGGGGGGGGGTGAATGCGCGCGCACCTCCTTCCCCCCGCCCGTCTGGGCCAGCGGTTGCCAAGGCGACAAAACTTTATTGACAACCCTGCCCGGTACAAAGGGCTTTTCGCCCTCTTCCTCACTCCTAGACCAGCTTCTCTTCCCCTAAATAACCTGTTTAATTTTGAGTACCCACAATAACACTGTGGGTGAAAGGGTCAGAAAGAAGGAGATTGATAGGTGGGGGCTTTGAAGAAAGCCCTGACTCATGGGGAGCTCCCATGGGGCACCCCCCCACACCCACAGTTGAGATCACCCCTCTGCTCCAGTCCTAGAGGCAAACATAATTAGTAATTCATCATAATTACGCCAGAATAATAAGCCCCACACTTGGAGCAGGCGGTCTTTGTTTTGTTGACGGCTGTATATCCTGTGCTCTTGGAACAATGCGTGGCACGGAATAGGTGCTTCATTAATTTGTGCTGAAGGAATGAATGTATGAAGCTGGTTTCTGCAATCCGTCACTCTGTGACTTTGGAGAAGTGGCTTGCCCTCTCTGAGCCTTAGGCTCGCATCTATAAAATAAGGACCACACTGGTCTCTCTTTGAGGGGTCTTTCTTAACACCCTCCTAGGTGTCCTTCACTCGTGCTTCCAGGCTCCCACCCTCTGTTCTTACTGTTCTTTCCCCAGCTGGGACTATCCCCAGCTCGGAGACACCCCCAACCCAGGTACCCCCACCCCCATAAGGATGGCTACAGCTCCGGAGAAGAGATGCAGCCTCACCCGGAGAAGGGGAGCCAGCAAGCCGAGAGGACCCTATACAAAGCTCAGCTCGGGGCTTCCCTGGTGGCGCAGTGGTTGAGAGTCCGCCCGCCGATGCGGGGGACACGGGTTAGTGCCCCGGTCCGGGAGGATCCCACATGCCGCGGAGCGGCTGGGCCCGTGAGCCATGGCCGCTGAGCCTGCGCGTCCGGAGCCTGTGCTCCGCAACGGGAGAGGCCACAACAGTGAGAGGCCCGCGTTCCCACCCCCACCACACACACACAAAAAGCTCACCTCAACTGAAACAACACTGTAAATCAACTAAACTCCAATAAAAATTAATTTTAAAAAACAACAGCAACAAAAAATCTCAGCTATTCGGGAAAGTCCTATCAGCAGGTCTGAATCTTAAAAGTGCAGCCCTGGGCTTCCCTGATGGCGCAGTGGTTGAGGGTCCGCCTGCCGATGCAGCGGACACGGGTTCGTGCCCCGGTCCGGGAAGACGTGCCGCGGAGCGGCTAGGCCCGTGAGCTACGGCCGCTGAGCCTGCGCGTCCGGAGCCTGTGCTCCGCAACGGGAGAGGCCACAACAGTGAGAGGCTCGCGTACCGAAAAAAAAGAAAAAAAGAAAAAAAGAAAAAAAAAAAGTGCAGCCCTTCCACCAGCGGGTGTACACCCTAGAGAAACTCTCAAAAATGTGAACAAAAAAATAAGCACAAGAATGCTTGCGACAATGCTGTTCGTAAGGGTGAAAAACTGGAAGCGGCTTAAATGTCCATC